TTTCCAAAAGGCTTTGACTTCCTTGAATAAACATGAGCACTGCACGTTTCAAAATCGAAACCCGGTGCGGGTGTTTTTATATCACTGTATGTAGAAAACAAAACCGCGCGTCTGTGCCATTTACATACACAGAGACACGCAGAACATGCAGGATTCATATTTAAAGTTTTTTTGGCTTAATATTTACAGATACTAGTCCATATTGCGACTCTATTTAAGTGTACTGACCTACTTTTGATTAATTCATCCAAACTTTGACATATTCCGTGACATTCCGCGTCATACATAAATTCCATTTATATGACTGGATTCCGCGATTCCGTCCGCGTTTTCCGCATCGCGGACATCATAGATAATATTTAGGTGTTTTGCAACTTAATTGTAACATTAGTGGATTGTGATTTATTGCAACTTAAGCAACGTCTGCTGCTGCCTTACATTTGAGAGACAACTGATGAGTGATCACTGAAGCAGCTCCAGTTACAGTTTGCTTGATTTGACTGTTTTGAACGAGCGCACCTTTTTTAACAACCAAAAAGTGGCTGTTTCGTTGTCTGTTGAGGAAGTACAGACGTTCCTCTCGTTGATAGCAGATGAGCGGATCCAGCAAGAGCTTGATGGGGCGACGCGGAATGAAAAAGTTTTTCAGGAGTCACGGGTCACGGCAATAGAGGCGGCGCAACTATAATGATATGTGAATAATCCCGCCCACTCTAAAGCGGTACTGAACTGCAGTGGAAACGCAAACCGAGCCGAGCCCATAGACTGTTTTTTTTTGTTTTATTGCGAACAATTCAGAGAGCGTTCTAACCGAGCGGCAACCTCCCGCTCTCTCTCGTGAAGCCAACAAGGAAGTGACTTAAACTGTACTTCGTCAACTGGCCGCTAGAGGCTGGCTCCAAAAAGGAGTCAATCCCATAGACTCCCCATGTTAAAATGCCCAACTTTACAGCAGAAAAAAAACGTTTACAGCCTGGTTCAAAAAATGATTTTGGTCTATATAGCTAATTTTGCCCTTCATGACAACTGTGAGGGGGGTGAATTTTGTTATAACTCATCCGTTTAAATTATATTAAGCCTTAAAGTTCTGCATAATTAAGGGCGTGGCCACTTGAGTGACAGGTGGATTGCCGCTGCTGTCACCACCGTCGAGCTAGGTGGGCGTGGTTTCAGCAGCCAGCTCCCGCCTCTTTGCCCATTTTCGATTATCCGGGAGTGACCCGCTGCCAAGATGGAGACAGCTGGCTCCGCCTACTTTAGGCTTCAAAACACTAGTCGGAAGTCTACGGGTTATGTCACGGACACTACGTCCATGTTTTTATACAGTCTATGTTTCTGACAGGCTGCATCAGAGCCAAATAGCTATCTATCTATCTATCTATCTATCCTAGCGACATGCTAATCATGCTAGAAACATACTAACAACATGCTAGTAGCATGCTAATAATGCTAGAAACATGCTAGCACCATGCTAGCCACATGCTAATAACTGTCTAATCATGCTAACAACATGCTAGTAACATGCTAATCATGCTACAAACATGCTAGTGAAATGCTAGTAACTTGCTAATCATACTAGAAACATGCTAGTCACCTGCTAATCATACTAGCAACATGTTAGTAGCATGCTAATCATGCTAGAAACATGCTAGCGACATGCTAGTAACTGGCTAATCATGTTAACAAAACGTGCTAGTTATTTGCTAATCATGATAACAACATGCTAGTAGCATGCTAATCATGCTAGAAACATGCTAGCGACATGCTAGTAACTGGCTAATCATGTTAACAAAACGTGCTAGTTATTTGCTAATCATGATAACAACATGCTAGTAGCATGCTAATCATGCTAGAAACATGCTAGTGAAATGCTAGTAACTTGCTAATCATACTAGAAACATGCTAGTCACCTGCTAATAATGCTAGCAACATGTTAGTAGCATGCTAATCATGCTAGAAACAGGCTAGCGACAAATGCTAGTAACTGGCTAATCACGTTAACAAAACGTGCTAGTTATTTGCTAATCATGCTAGCCACATGCTAATAACTTGCTAATCATGCTAACAACATGCTAGTAACATGCTAATCATGCTAGAAACATGCTAGTGAAATGCTAGTAACTTGCTAATCATACTAGAAACATGCTAATCACCTGCTAATCATGCTAACAACATATTAGTAAAATGCTAATCATGCTAGAAACATGCTAGTGACATGCTAGTAACTGGCTAATCATGTTAACAAAACGTGCTAGTTATTTGCTAATCATGCTAGCAATATGTTAATAGCATGCTAATCATGCTAGTGACATGTTAGTAACTTGTTAGTCATGTTAGCAACATGCTAATCATATGGTAATATTACTAGCAACATGCTAGTAACATGCTAATCATGCTAGAAACATGC